ATTTTAACAAATATTCATAGGGCTGTGCTATCACCAGTGATACTAGTGTATAAAAAGATGATTCAGCATAAGATACTGTGGCAGTTGACCTCATTTCTAAATTAGATTAACATTTCAGCTTCTATCTAGAAATTTCTACCTTGCACATCACTGGTAGTATCTGAGCACATTCAAAAGACAGACACATTCCTTTGCCAGATAGAAAGGGTATAACTGATGGGTGAACAAAACATTTTCAATTTCCAAAGAACATACTGCAATTAATGGAGAGGTCTGCTTTAAAATTACTCACTCAAGTATTTTTGAAGGCACATTAGCAGTCATATTATGAACACAAAATAAATAAATTAATTAAAAACAAGTCTCCTTGTCCCTGTTACTAATAACAACTTAGATGATTAAAACTGAATTTACTTTTCAGCATTACACCACTTGGACCATGATGATAAACGTCTGAGATTTATGTTTTTTGTTTACATTTGTATTGCTTTCAGTTTCAACAAAGAAACAGACTAACTGGTTTTCACTTTTTGGTTCTCATGCACTAGCTCAGTATTTCAGTGCTGGAATTGCAAAAACCCAAAATCTATGTTTTGTAATTTAAAAAAAAAATTATGAATATATAATTATATATTGCAACAAATGTATTACAAAACCTACATTTGGGGCATAAACTACTTAATAGCTCTAAATAACTTCTAGATGAAAATACATAATTTATTATTTTCTGTCCCGTACAAAATTAAAGATGGCTTCTGGTTTGGATAAACAGAACTGCTACATAGGCCCAGATCCTGCAACTGGATCTGCATGAGTGGACCAAATAAATGGAGGAGCAAGTGAATTCAATGGGGACTCAAGAATCTCCCAGTAAGGATCAAAATGTAGGACTAGGGTCTTAGTTCTTTCTCTGACTTATTTTGGAAGCTTTAGTCTTATGTTTCTTTTCTCTACCAATATAGTAAGAAAGAAAGAATCAGTTGGAGAGGAAAATACTGTTTATTGGGATAATCTCTTTCTCCAGGCTTTTGGGGAGGAGACTGGGATAGGTGTTTGAGGGCAAGGGACTCTGAGGCTAGAGTGGTTCATAAGTTCCACTCCCCCCGTTTTCATCCTGGTTTTGAACAGGTTGCTAAAATTAATTTTGTTAGATTACCATATTTCTAATATATGGTAAAAGCAATCCGGGGATAGGCAATATATGTTTGTATAAATCTACAATAAAACATATCAAATCAAATCAGGGAGGTCTGTACTTTCCATAACGTTCCCCTTTCCCTATCTCTTCCCAATTAGGGTTGCCAACTTTCTACTTTCACAAAACCAAACACCCTTGCCCCTCCTCCATAGCACCCCCCCCTGCTCACTCCATCCCCCCTCCCTCTGTTGCTCGCTCGCCCCACCCTCACTCACTCATTTTCACTGGCTGGCTCAGGGGGTTGGGGGTAAGGACTCTGGGTGGAGCCAGAGATGAGGGGTTTGGGGTGCAGGAGGGGGCTCTGGGCTGGGGGGTGGAGCCGTGGGGTTCAGAGTGTGGGAGAGGGCTCTGGGCTGAGGCAGGAGATTGGGGTGTCGGAGGGAGTACGGGCTCTGGGCTCGGGGTGCGGATTCCAAGGTGGGGCCAGAAATGAGCGGTTCAGGGTGTGGAAGGGGGTTCCGGTCTGGGGGTTGAGGTGCGGGGGAGGGGGGCGAGGGCTCCATCTCGGGGTGTAGGCTCTGCAGTGGGGCTCAGGATGAGGGGTTTAGGGTGCAGGAGGGTGCTCTGGGCTGGGACTGGAGTTTGGGTTTGGAGGGGTAGGAGGGGAATCAGGGCTGGGGCAG